CCGTTGTGAGGAAAAGGATGTCAATCAGATGTTAGCGTTAGCCTTTTTCCCTCTCCAGAAAGAAAAAAAAGATGTGCATCATAGCAAGAAGCGATCGTGCCATGGTATGGCAGGGCTAGAGGAAGATGTAGGGGTCTGAAAGTGATTTCTGAAAGGATAAAGGCATTCGGGATAAAGATCGACGGGAATCATTCTCAACTTTCCCCTTAAGACCCAGGATGATATGAAAGATTGTGGTCTTTACTGGAATGAAAATGGACAATGCAGATCATGTGGGAATCTGGCATAAGACACTGAGCAGAGCAGACTGGGTGACTGTACAAGGGTTAAGGGGTCGTAGCATCTCTCACAGCCACAGAATAACATGCAATGGAGCACTGCTAAAAACCTCTCTGCACTGCATGCTGTGCTACATGCACATGTGCCATTCTGAACATATGATTCTGAGGGAGTGTTCGTGCTCGTGCGCACATGGGAATGTGTGTACAGGAGCTTGATTGTGTTGACGACAAGAACCCGCTTTTCCTCACTTGGCTTTGCACTCCACTATTTAAGATTTGTACTCAAACACTTCAGATGTGCTTGAAGAGCTTAAAGCTGCGGTATGCAGCTCTCTGGAAAAAAAAAAAAAAAAAAAAAACATCAGAATTTGAAAACATAGCCCTCCTCCTACAGCTCCCCCCTCTGTCCTAAGCCCCTCCCATCAGGCGAGCACGGGCCTAAGTACGTGCTTCAACATATGCTTCATCCATGGGCTTCACCAGTGGCAGCCGCCTGTGAGCAAGCCCAGCTGACTAACGTTACATAAAAATGAACTTTCCGCCGCAGTGGTTAGTAGAAAACGAAAGCATTGTTACTGTCCATTGATTTCAATCATCCCGATGGTGAGTGAGATCCCAAAGCCCTTATATACTGGCAATCCTATAAGAACTATCATCTTGTTTTCTTTGCAGACTTGTCGGCCTGTAAAGTCCTTCGAGATGATATTCTGTGAGTCAAGGCCTCAGCTATAGCTAGTTGTAGCTAGCGTAGTGGGCCATTTTTCTTCTGGCTACATTCTCAAGCTTTTGGATATTTAAGTGCAGAGAGGAAAGCAATTATCTTGGTAGGATTTGAGTCACTGGCTATCATTTTGTTTATTTTAGCATGTTAAGTGGTGGTGGGCAAAGAGTTGCTATTAAAATATTCCTTTCTGATACATTCTCAGGCTTTTGGAAATGTCTTTTAATATTATGTATATGAATCTAAGTTGATTGGTGTGTTTATCCCAGAAAGACCCATCCCAGTTAAATGAGTGAGTATTTTAGGCCGAGTTTTCTTTTTTGACGTATCCCAGTTTAACACGTCCCAGTTAGGCAAGTGGGTATTTTTGGTTAAAGCCAATGTTTTTTTTTTTTTTTTGTGGAATTTTTTTCACTGGAAGCTGTGTACCTGACAATTGATACAACATTGAATGAGGCCTGTGGGAGATTTTATAATCTAGGATATGAGACCTGTGGGTTACATGTAACTGGGATGCATCTATCTGGGAGCGTCAAAGTGGGACTCATCTATCTGAGATGAAATCTGTCTACCAGTCATTTTTGGTACTTTAAACCGCGTTAAGTGTTTTAGACTGTCCCAATTTAAATGTATTAAACATATTTTTAATTACAAACTGATGTGTCAATAATCACTCCAAAATGAGTGATTCATGGCGTAACAGAGAATGTTATTGTGTTTGTGGCTGGTCACTTGCCCTCTTTTGTGAATCGGCTCTTCTTGCTTCCCTTTCATGGGCAGTCCTCAGCACTTAAGGTATCTTCTCATTTGTTTAACACTTGGACAGTCGATGTCACTGGTAAATTGTGGCACTCGTTCGTTGTCCATGGGTTAGGATGGTTAATCGGATTGCTAATTGCTCATGAACAGAGATTGCAGTTAAACTGCCTCTAATGTCTGAGTGCTTGATCTATAGGAGAATCATGATGCAAGCCTGATGTCATCGTCCCGGAGCTGAAAGGTTATCATGCACTATTTGCTCAGTCGCATCACAAAAAAAATTGCAAACCCCAGCTTCAAAGGGTATTTTTTACATTTTAGCTTTGCCGCATAAAAATGAAAGCACTTTTTAATGCACAGTTCCATTTTTGATGTAATTATAATAATTGGGAGGAATAGCTTGGCAGGTGCTTCAGATTAATAAAGTGCGCTCAATTGGGTCAATAGTGCAGGCATAAGAGCTTTCAGTGCATAGGTCTGATTTGAGTTGTGATAATGAAAGTCTACGAACCCATCTACAGACTTTTTTATCATACAAACACCCGCCCTATTCATCCAAAACGCTTCAACATATTAAGTGTGGATGCATCAGTAACTACTCTGCAGACAACATGCCATTAAAAGAAATACAATGGCTACACTGTGAGGTGCAAATTACTTTTAAACTGCAAAACATGATTGTCTCGTAAAACTGGGTAACTTACGCTTAAAAGACCCTGTAGATCTCTGGAAAGGTCCTGTGGACAGATCTGTGTATTTTAGTTTGGTCAACCTTTCTCATGTAAATATGCTGTTGGGTCCAGAATTATTGGCATCTCTGACTGGAAACACATTAAAAATACTATTCAAAATAAATAGCAACATTTATAAACTGAAAATACCAACATGTAAGAAATACTGTACTTAGTTACCATTTCAATAGAACCGGTCAAAATGATTTTTTCATTGAATTAAAAATCAATTTTCCCACATCAAGGTTTCACAATTAGGTGGACATTCCAGCAATACAGTGACCAAAAGTACACTTCACAATACACACACAGTTGGTTCCGGGACAATAAAATCTATGTTCTGCAATGGCCATTATAGTCACCAGAACTCAATCCATTCGGAAAAACGTTGGGGAGAACTGGAAAGAGCAGTTCATGAGTCCAAACCCAGGAATATGACTGATCTTGAAAGGATCTGCATTTATGAGCTAAAATCCCTCCAAATATGTGTCTTAACCTAGTCAGACAGAGCAGGAAAAAACTCCACACTGCTACTCTTGCTAGAGCTGGTTTCACCAAGTATTATACCAGGGGTGCCGCTGCTTGTGAAAACTTGATTTGTTAGTGATTGATTTCTAATTAAATGAATCAGTAATTTTGGTTGGTTCCATTGATTGCAGTATTTCTCACCTGTTGTCAACATTTTATGTTTATGTCTATAATGTTGTTATTCATTTGTAAATAGTATATTTAGTGCATTTCTAATCAGGGGTGCCAATAAGTCTGAAGCCCTCTGTATTTATTGATACAATATAACATTTGAGCAGAATTTTTGTAGTGGAGTTTTCAAATACTTTCTAGCTAGCGGAGATCAGGCCATTAGGTTATTTCAGCTTTTAATTCATTATGGAATGAATTATCTGTCACCAACTGGAGAGGTTTTTCTTGGCCTACAACCATTATGATTACTGAGCTCTCCAGTTTTCTTAATCATTTTCCAAGCTATTGATTTAAGCGAGTTCATATTTTGGCGTATGAGTTAGACTTTTTTCCCCCCTTGTGTCTATTTTCTAAAGCGGCATCTCCTGACTTTGCTTGTCAATCCGGTCCACAGTTTGATAAAGGTCAGTGACAGACTCTGTAAGCTAACAAAGACGGAGAAGGAAAAAATCGAACTGATTTTTCCCACGGTGCTCAGCAGCTGCTCTCGTGGTCTGTGCCTTGCAAATTGTGGTCACTCACTCATTCACTCATCCATAGGTGCTCAGTAGGGTCACTCATTGGTTCACATGCGCATGACGCACCGTGGGCGTGAACAGTGTCGTTCTTGTTCGAAACTAAATGCTCTCATGCCTCACACTACCGATGCAGTTGAATTCATTAAGGATATCCAAATCTCATCCATGGATCAAATTTCAGTCCCAATTCCACCGTGTTCTAAAGATCAGGAATAGGCTGGGACAAGTCTGATCCAAATCCAGTCCTCTCTGATACCGCAAAACTTCATGTCCACAAAGTGTAGTCCTGGACTGCTTTCTGTTGTCTAAAATGACAGCCATGTTGAAACCACTTGTCTAAATTTACCTGCACTCCTACAAGCCAGCAATATCCCTTTGACAATGACGCTACTACTTATGCAATTGTTGAAGTTGCTACCTATGGCCATGTGTGACATTTACAATTCCAATGTACGGCACAACATTAGCACATACCTTTCTCAATATCATTAATCATCAAGCCTGACGCGGCTTTCACCCCACAAAAACTTGGGGCTGGATGGCATCGCCAATACCTTGCTTTCACTTACAGGGCAGCATGAATCCACCCCGCAGTATGTGGTTTTGCAGGACCGTTGATATGCTACTTCACTGCTTTTCATCCACTAAACATGAGACGTTACAACACCACACTAAAGACTTAACGTCAGCCGTCTGAATTTTGTGGAAAACTGAAGGTGCACATTCCAATATGAATGAGACAATTTCTGTCAAAGAAAAAAAATGACATTATTTCGCTAAAAACATAATCAGCACAAACTAATAATTAAAGAAAAGCAAAACAAAGACAATAACCTGTTAATGGCAGTGATTGTTGAAATACCCTCGAATAATTTGATAACATGAAATATCACTGATTCCTATTTATTTTCTGTATTTTTTGTTTAAGCTTAGCAACATCTTGCCTGTCCTGGAATTTATTCACTGACTTTAAGCCAAGCTGGGTGTTCATGTGTGTGGGCAAGCTGTTGCATAATTTCACTTAGAAAAATAATAAAAATATTGGATTCAGCCTTTACTGAATGTTACTGTCCTTGGATTGAATCTGGTGACAAAAAAAAAAGAAAAAAAAGCATTGGGACATTTCTAGAATGCACTCGATTAATCACAAAAACCTATTAAACCTCCAGGGTTACTAACAGAGAAGTTCTATGCTTTGAAAAGTGCTGCGCTAAAAGTTGGGTCTCTGTTGTTGTGTGTGCCACAAACAGTCTTACAGAATGTTGGGGGGACCACACAACTGTTGATGGTAGCACGGTGGCGCAGTGGTTAGTGCTGTCGCCTAACAGCAAGAGGCTCGTGAGTTCGAATCTGGCCTGGGGCCTTTCTGTGTGGAGTTTGCATGTTCTCCCAGTGGTCGCGTGGGTTTCTTCCGGGTACTACAATTTCCCCCACCCACAAAAACATGCATCATAGGAACACTGGCCACACACCCAGGCGCTGCTCTGTGGCTCCCCACTGCTCCTAACTATAGGATGGGTTAAATGCAGAGGACAAATTACCCCACAGGGTTCAATAAAGTGTATCTTAAATCTTAAAAGTGAGCGCAGGGTGAGCAGTATAGGGAGTTCAAAGAAGCACTTCTCTGACAAGAGATGAAGCTCAGCTACATGAACTGAGCCTCCAACCGCCACACAAGCTGAACAAACACAGACTGACAATTAAGTTCTTTCTGAGTACCTGTCATCAGGTGCAGTTGAGCTGATGTGTACGGCGGCCTAAATTAAATCAGACTGTAACACGACTCCCCTCTGCGTGTTCAAAAGCTAAGCCAAAGGTCTTTGACTTCACCATGACCAGCACAGGAACGACAAACCCTTCCGTGCTCACGGGATCCACACTGTTATAAACGGGCACCTTTTTTTGCCAGTTATTTTAACTGTAATTTTATAATCAGTTTATAACAGAGGTTCCATGTATGTTAACTGTAAACCACAGTTAAATGCACTGTGTCTACTTACAGTTAAAATAACAACGAGACAATGTTTTGATTTAACTGTTAAATTCAGTCACTTTATAACAGTACAGGGAATTACAGGCATCTAAACGACTGAGGACCTCCCCCCGAAGACCCTGCCATGCGCTCTGTATGCGGTCTGAGGAGGACAGGAAATGGTGGCAGTGTTCCTGTGGTGGACTGATGTCCAGTAAGCTATTTCACGGCCGAGAAAACCGAAAGGGCCTCAGACATCTGAGGCATCAACTTTTTGCTCTCAACAGTAGTCTCTCACTTACGCGGTACATTACAGTTCTTTCAACATCCAACCAGGTACAGACACACAGCCGAACTCACACGGTCACTCTCTACCACACACACAAACATGCATGTGCACACAGCTACTCCCTCATTCCCCACGTCCAGGCTCTCAAACAGCCACATACGCGCGTATGCGCTCACGCAAGCGCACACAGACATTCATCTGCTCTTCAAAAAAATATACACACACACACACCAGCACGCACACACACAGCTGTGATGGTTTCAAGGCAGCACATCTCTGCAGTATTAGAGACATGTGCTCCTGTGCTAAGAAAGTCTCTGCTTTTTCGCGTTTGATGTTTTAGCCAAGCTGTCAAGCTCTTCATCTCCCTGGCTGGAAATATAGCGACTGAAATGCCAACTTAGTGTATCTGAGCATGTTTACACACTTACAGGGATCACTATCCTCTAATTTGACAAGTCATTATCACTTCTGCTCCTCAAAGACTCTGGGTAATTAATCCAGAGGAAATTATAGCGAAAAGGAAAAAAGTTTATGGCAGCATTCACACCATATTAATTTACCTTATAATTACCAAACATTTATCTTTTTCCTTCCTCCCTGAGCTGATCCTGAAGAAGCTTTCAGAGCTGAACTGAGAGGAGTCGTATTCAGTTGTTCCACTTATTCGCCAGAGAACCTGAGTATAGACCATGGCTTTGAATACATGGGAACATTAAAGGAGCTGTGTCACGATTACTGCACATGCTCATACAATTTTGAACAAAATAAACCCGCTCAACTGCAAGTCAAAATCAAGACGGTATTTTCTTCTATGATCATTGGCGATTGGCGATTATTAGCTTACATTCTTCAGATCCGTAGTGCTTTGAATACTAGAATTTTGATAGAAAGCTCCTTAATATAAAAAGCATAATGCTGGGTTAACCAAAATATATAAAAACCATGCAAAACAAAGATGAATTGGGAAGGATGGGATCAAATTATGACTTGTGGTCAAACAGATTCGCTTTCTAGAGATGTACATTCTGAGCGTGTGCAGTAATCGCGACACAGCCCCTTAAATCTCAAGTCACATTAACACCTTAATGAGGGATGTGAACAATGTGCTGATTTTCAGTTGTCAAATAGTGCGGCAACAGTTGATAAAAATTTTTTAAATATTTTGTAATCTTTGTTCAACATAAAAGATTACGACACGAGGCCAAATTTACCGGGACCACTCTAAACAGGTGGGAGGGGGTGAGATAACACAGGTATTCATGCAAATAGGCTCTAAGCTTTGAGGTGAGACTCCATGATGATGACAGCGATCCTTTCAAAACCATAACAGACTAAATTGGTGAAATAGTTCAAAAAAACACGAGCTCCATAAACTGGGAGGGAAAAGCATTTCAGGAAATCCTGACATTTCAGAGCCTCTTTACCCCTCTGCGTTACGGCCGGCTTCTCCTGTGCATGAAACTGTAATAGCATGTTAATATAGCGAGGCAAACCTTAGAAAAAATAATATTCTTATGTTCTGCACTGATTCTTGCGTGAGTTTTCAAGGGTACTTCTGGCTCCATATAAAAATATACAGTTGAGACTACTGAGGATTAACAGGCACCGCTGTAATTACATGTGTATGCAAAAAGAAAAACCAAAAAAAAAACAGTGTAAATAATGGTACATAGCCTGTACAAATAGATAAATTAGCCTCATGAATGAAAACTGTAGAAACATTATGGAATAAGGATAATTAAAGGTGATAACTACAAGTTTAATTCCTCCCGGCCAGTAGGTGTCACACTCACACTCGTCCGCTCTCACTCCAACCTTCAATTGTACTGGTTGCCAGGTACGCCAAATACCGGAAGTGGACAGAGAACAAGAGAGATGTCAAGCGAGGAGTCTTTCGTGGTATATTGATTATTAAATCATAAATCCTTTCTGTGTGCCTATATAACGCCATTACTCACTGTAACAATCTCCTTGTAAAACATGTTTAGATCGCTAACTAAACAGCTGACTGACGAATGCCATCATATAATGATCTGGCAACACCTGAGCTCCACCTCACATGACATCAATGTACTAATGCTGTTGGCGCAGAGATCATTTCATGTCAACGTTGCCAACGTAGCCAGATGTGAATATTTATACAAAGTATATTTTGGACCCGTAAAACTTTATAAAACAATTATTTCTATACTATAATATATTTTTTCAGTAAAATTAATACTTTTATTCTGCAGCCCTCTAGACGTTCTGTGGATGTATTAGTTTTGAAAAATTATTTTTTTTGAGGAAAAGGCTGTAGCTATGACCTTTAAAAATTAAAGCACAATCATCATTTTCCAACATCAGCTCATACACTGTCAAAAATGTGTGTCATTCCCACCCCTGACCTTCATCACATTCTGTGTTACATCCATCTCGGCACGTCGGAAAACTCATGGACTGACCACTTATGTCAAGACCGGACAATGTCAAATATTTCCACGAGTCTCTCCCTCACTTACGTTGACCCCTTAGTGAATTTCCAAATGAAGACATTGCTCCATGGCTATGCATGCAGCTCTAGATTTGTAGTGTAGGTTTAGGAAAATACAGGTACGTGGGAGCAGACATCCATACACACACACACACACACACCCACACATATATCATAAGCGGAGCGAGAACACTTAGCGAGTAGGACTGAATTATACATCTATTATACACGCAATATTAGCATGGTACCATGGATGGGGGTGGGGAGGATTAAATCATGTTATTGGGACGCTGTTGTCAACGGTTCAGCACACTGTGCAGTTCAGATTAAATTGAATATGCTTACGCACCGCTTATACTGGCATGTGGACACCACAGTGCCATTCATGTTGCATGTTGAGTGGATCCTAATATAACAGTGCTAAATATATACACACATAAAATATTGCAGTTAGCATTTATGAAACTGTCATAGCTCCCAAAATATTTGTCTGTTCACCATTTTGGCCCTCCTGACTGAAAAATTGGAATCCTCAATGCGGTTGGTTTCTGCAAGCAGTAAAAATACACAACTTTGGATATTTATCAGGAGCAGGCTCAGCTGATGAATTAAGTCACATTTATTCCATTGCCAGGCTCCTTGTTACCATGGAAGCAGGGTAGTGTGATCAAGACCTTAAATGGACAGGAAATAAAATTCTAAACAAGTGTGAAATGAAAAAAAAAATCTGAAAGGCCAATTATATTTAAAGTTTGGAGACTACAGCCAGTATTTTTTCAACAGCCACTACATGCACCAGAACTGAAACTAGTTGTTTTAGGTGATAACACCGCCCTGCATTTTGATACTTTCTCTCTGCTGATTCGATAAACTGTATTAATTTTATATAATTAGAAGGCGCTGATTTCAAATTTGCCCTAATAATTTGTGTATCATGTCAGGTTTTTTGACAAATCGTGAATTCTTTTTTTCATATTGATATACCTAAGAATACACAATGATAAATGAAAGCAAAATGACACAGTTAGATTTTAAGCTTTCTGCAAAATGAAATAAAACGAAATGCAGCTTACCTAAGGATTAAATTTTCTTTTCTTTGATTCACGGGAATAATTTCGTTCGGGGCAGTCTCTCTGTAGGCACCAACAGTTACACCCCACCCTGCATGTTGAAAAACATTTTCTGCTGATTTCCCAAAAAGGCCTCATATTACCTAATTTGAGGATGCTGAATTAAAAAATGCGAGTAAAAAGTTTCTATCACAGTTTTTTCCACAAAATAAAAATGAAGATATTCCTTATTATATCATATAAATCGACTTTTATGCACCGATCAAAACAGCAACAAATGCTATTTGGGTGTAGTGAAACACCAACAGATGTAGCAGAAAACATCTGTATCATGTCTGCATTTTCCTCTGTCAGCGGCCATATTACTACGCCTGCCATCAGGATTAAGCACAAAATAATGTCCTTAGAATCATTCTACATGTGAAAATCAGACAAGAATTGAACAAATAGTTCTCACCTGGCTCAGAGGAGAATAGAAATCATTCATTGTGGCAGTTTTTCCGGTGGTTAAGCACTTCTTAATTGTACAAGTGGTTCACAAAAGTGACAATACTAT